GGGGGGTATAACCCCGCCACCCAACACACTCAGGCGCGCAAAACACAAGTTGACACTCCTTCTCCAGGAGCGACACATAGACCGGAATCTGTAGAGGAGAAGTAGGGCGTTTATTTGGTGGAGAGAATGAGGGCGACGATGAGCCCGTAGAGCCCCAAGACCTCGGCGAAAATCAAGATGAGAATCATGCCCACGAAAAGTCGCGGCTGCTGAGCCGTGCCCCTCACGCCGGCGTCGCCCACGATGCCGATGGCGAAGCCGGCCGCCAGCCCGCTCAGGCCCACGCTGAGGCCGGCCCCCAGGTGGAGGAAGCTCCTTGAACACGAAGACACAAAGTCTTGGGTCAACACGTGGCCGAAGAGCGGCATACAAAACGGCTGACGTCAGTCATGAGTCCGCGGTCCTGTTAAAGTTCAAGTCCTCACTTACTGGAGGACCGGGCGGGGGGAGTCTCCAAATAGCAGCGAGTGCGGCGGAAGCAAACTCACTTGTAAAGGCTGACCCTTTCCGTGATGCTGTTGGCGATCAGCACGGCCACCACCAGGCCGTAGATGGCGATGATGCCCGCCATGACCACGGGGATGATGGACTTCATGATGAGCTCCGGCCTCATCACCGACATGGCGGCGATGCCCGTGCCGCTCTTGGCCGTGCCGTAGGCCGCTCCCAAGGCTGCCGCGGGAGAGGACGAAAGCAAAGCGGTCAAGACTCGCGCAGGCGCCACGTCATTCGCAGGCGCGGATAAATAAAGACCCGCGTGAAAAAGTCAGGCCGCTTTCAGTTCCTCCCAAAAGCCCCGCACGCTGACGTCGAGGCGGGGCGGGGGGGAATTCCGCTGCCGTTCAACTACCGGACGACGAGATCATCATCTTGGCTTCATTCATGTCCTTTGACTACCGAGGTGTCTGACGCGTCGGCTTCTCCGCAGAATTCTTTGACCTCAAATCGGAGCTCCCGATTCAAGAAGCCGGCGGATTATTTGGGTTAAATGAATTGTAAAATCTGAAAAGCACACACTGCGTTGACCGAAGCCGCCGGAGCCGAGCAGAAACAGCAGCTAATGTCACGGCGGCATCACCTTCGGAAGCCTCGATTCAACTTGAACACTTTCTCTTTCTCCTTCAAGGGAGCCGGAAGCCCTCGTTCCGCGAAATGAGAACGTTAATGTTTTTTCAATGATTCAACGACATTTTGTAGCATCGACGTACCGTAGATATGTCTTTCAAATGACATTTCGCAAGAGGAGTCAGATGGCCATTTCAAGTCACAAGGCCCATCATGTGAGTGTCACGTGACTCTGTGTCATTCTTTGGAGCAATAAGGAAGTTGCCCTTCTCGTCCCAATTCCCAAAGCTTGGCAAAAAGAACTGGCGGCAGTTACATGCCATACTGAGTGGCTTAAAATGTTTTTTTTTTTTCCATCATTGCTCGAAGAATTAGGCTCTGTTCGAGATCGATGCCGCTTGGGCTGAGACTTGTTGGACAAAGCCAAGCGACCGATGAGCACGAATTCCACCACTGCATTAGCTCGAGTGACACACGTTAAACTGCTGAAATGTTGCTTCAAAAGACGCGCTGCGATCGAGGTCGGAACAAATGTTGACTCCGCTCGGTATGCGGAGGAAGTCCTCGCGTCTACTACAACACAAATGGCATCGATGACACGCACCTTCTGTTTATTGAAATCATTATTCTGACGTCACACGTGGAATTTGTCGTCGGTCTGCGTGACGCTCGTGAAGCCGTTTCATTCGGGAATCTTTTGATGGCTGTAGTGCCTTGTGAATACGAGTGTTCGTGCGAGAGAATATCGCTGCCGAGAGAATTTCGTTTTCAAGTCAACGACAGTCAACCGAAACCTGCGTGGACGTCATCGGTTAGCTTTAGCAATATTAGCTTGAACGCCTGTCCTGTTAGAACATGCAATTGTGAGAAATTACTCAGACGCGACACGACGATAAATACCAACATTTTTTGGGGGGGTAAGAGGAATTTAGCAACCAATAACGACATTTACGAGCTAGCTTTAATACCAACTTCGGGGTTGTCATTTGCTGGAAGCAGTTGGTGTAAAATGACATGAAAAGCACACGCGTCGCCATTGCGAGGACAACTAAATGTTTATAAAGAATGACGAGAGAGAGGGAAAGCGAAAGAAAGAAAAAAGAAAGGCCGTCGTGATAGTTACCGCTAAACACCATCGCCGCAGAGGCACCCATCACCGCGAAGAACGGGGAGTATTCGGGACTTTCGGCCGACATCGTTCCACGCAAAAATGTTAAAAAAGAACAAAAAAACTACAAGCGGGACACGAGGGAGGTGACGACGCCGAGTGAAAAGGGGAAACTCAGGCGAAGTCCAACGAGCTTGGGCTTGAGGAGGCGGATGACAAAAGGCAGGAAATTGCGTCGACCTAAGCTAGCAGTCGCTTGTGGAGCGACTGGGTCACGACTCGCGTGATAAATAGCCGTCGCAGAGGCACAAAATGGCGAGGCGGAAAAGATCACCTGACCAGCCTCCAAGCCGCCCAAAATGGCTTTGCGCGTTCAGCAAACGTCAATTAATCACGTGCCCTTCCATTGAAATATCGAAAAAAGGGTCTGATGTACGAACTCTCTGGAATAAAATGCAGATTTTCGTGGCTCGTTTCTTGGCGATCACCCCCATGCGGGAGTCCATTTGGTACAATCTATTGCGGGCTTCCTTTTGCTGTGGTTTGAGCGTTCAGAGGCGGCGGCAAGGAGGATTCAACATTCAAGAATGGAACGAGCATCTTTTTTGGCATACCTTTATACTCCACCAATAGGATATTAATGCAATTCCATTCGTAATTAGTCTGATAAGAACAATATACGAATTAAAAACAAACAGTACGTGTAGGTTTTGCCTTTCCGGAATACCCTATAAGCAAGCTCATTGCGCGATTAAGTTGACAGTTTTACTCACGAGAATATAAAAACACGCATTCAGGGTGTAGCGTGTTGTGCAGCATCGAAGGCTTTTAACGGCATCTTTTTTTTATAATTGCATAAACGAAACAGTTTGCAGTGAAACTGAAAAAAAAAATCGAAAGAATACTAGGCAGAATTAACTTCACTTTTAGCAGTGTCTTATAAAAACTAAATATCGAATAGTGCCGACGTGATACGGACGACTTGATTTCCGATACTTCCAGAAGCAAGCCGTCATTCGGACATTTTCTTTCAAACTTTGACTTGCAAAAACTTACTGCACACTTAGCTCAACCGATTTCACAATAAGCAGTATTTCCCCGGTTGAAGTTTACTGTCGAACTAAAAAAGGAGGATAACAAATAGCATATTTCAAACAACTTTGTCTGAGGACTGCCCCCGGCATACGCGAACGGGCTTGCGATTTGATTCGCAGTCGGTGTTATAACAACGGATAATTGAACACAAAAAGAGCGAACTGTGTCACTCCAGTGCACGTGTTGACATTTTGCACCGTGACTCGAGAGTGCAGCTGCGGGTGCTTTGCAGCGAGCTGCAACGTGGGGCACGGGAGTGAAAGAATGTGAGGCAGCGTGCGCGTGGTGGTGGTGGTGGGTTCGACTGTCGGCTGAGAAATCCCCTCTGCTCCGGACTTAGGGAGGGGATGGGGAGCTAGTACAGTACGTGCGTCACAACTCACCTCCTCCGCAGCCCAGTCAGCAGCACCAGAGAAGCACCCCGCCCCCACCGCTCCATCGGTGTCGGTGTCACGGTCAAGCCCTGTCACACGGGAGGCCATTTCAGCAGGACCGCAAGCCTTCTTTTGAAAGTCTCTCCAATATTTCCTATAAAAATACATTTTTGCTCACGTTAGGTAATACAAACCAGGTATGGACAGCCAAGATGACATTTATAGCCTCACCTGTCCTTATTGAGCGCCCCCGTCAGGGGGAAATGTGACAAATTCTCTCAAGGGCTGAGGTCACAGAGGTACTCTAAATGCAACATGCCCCCCCCCCCCCCAAGACAGGCAGAAACAATATCTTTTCAGATTGTGGAGAGAAGGTCCAGCCGAAGGCTGGAAAGCGTGATCTTCAAGAGATGCGGCAGAGCAACATCCAAAGCAGCAGGCTAAATATAGAAGCGCACGTGTGATTAGGAGAATCCTCAATGAGCAGAGCGAGCGGCCTTGGCAAGCTGGAGTGAGTGAACGGCACTTAGCGGAACGCCGCAATGACCGAGCCACTTTGCCAGCCTGGATACGACAGCTCGCAGGATGCGTTCCGCCGGAGCATCCGCTGCAAATTCATTTGCCCTTTTAATAACGAGCATCAAGATGGATGATTGAACGCGCACTTTGCATTTAATAAACCAACAGGTACCGTTTCAAATGGCCTCATTGATTTTTCAACCCCCCTTCCTCCCATTGACAGACACACACACACGGAATTAACTGTATACTGCAAATAGTTGGTGATGTCTGTGTAAAAAATTCCAGTTATGCATGTCTGTGTGAAACTTCCCCAAAGACCAAAATAGAGGCGAGTCAATTCTTTCCCTCCATGTATCAATTTTCATGGACTTAAAACGGACAATTTCCACGCATAATTGAGTTAAACGGCAGTTCACTTGAATGCAACATGGAAATCCATCCGTGGTGTTAGATGTAAAACTGCAGTAGCAAGCAGCAGAATGAGGCTTTAGTGGGAGGTGGGGGAAACAAGGAGCTAGCTAGGGATTAGCGGTTTAGATTTAAGGTCAGACGACATTAAAAGGCATCTGGCACACTTGAGTGGATGGGGGGAGAGAGACACACACACAAATTTTCTCTCTCTCTTATAAAAGCAGGGAAGCCCAGACTTCCCTCTCCCCAGCCACTTCTTCCAGCTCTTCCCAGGGAATCCCAAAGCGTGCCCAGGCCACCTGGGGGAGACAGTCTCTCCAGCGTGTCCTGGGGCGTCCCCGGGCCCTCCTGCCGGCGGGACGTGCCCGAAACACCTCACGGGGAGGCATCACAATCAGACGACCGAGCCACCTCACCTGGCTCCTCTCGACGTGGAGAAGAAGCGGCTGGACTCAGATCCCCTCCCGGATGACCGAGCTTCTCACCTTATCTCTAAGGGAGAGCCCGGACACCCTGCGGAGAAAACCCATTTCGGCCGCTGGTATCCGGGATCTCGTTCTTTTGGTCACGACCCTTAGCTTGTGATCATAGGTGAGGGCTGGAAGGTAAATCGACCGTCATTTATTGTATGGATGATTTTTGCTCTGTGTCGGGTTGTTTGAAATCAAGCTGAGTTGATTCGGTCGGAGCTCCAACTCACGAAGAAAAACTTGAGCTGACGAACAAATGCACATGTGACATTTGCATCCTGTTTATCCGACATAGGAAACACTTCATGGCGGCGCATATTTCAGACAAAACCACACTAACACGACCACTTTTGACATTGACATATTTGTTTCGGCTCATCATGCATTTGAACGCACCACAGATAACAACACGAAAATGCACTTTTTTTTTAAACCACTAGTTGTAAACACTACTGCACTATGTACAAAGAGCCAAAACAAAAAAATATCACATTTTTGCACGAGGTTCATAAATACAATCATGGATTAACTTGTAGTGCGGCCCAAGTGAAATGTTTACACCTAAAACACTTCAAAGGACGGTCACTTGTGCTTTTCTGTGACGCCGCCAGTCTCTATTTCTGTTGAAGATCAAATTCCAAATCCCGACTTCACAGATAAACAACTGTTTGCCATTCAGGTCCTTGTTGGAGAACAGCAAGATGGGGGGAGAAAAAAAAAACAAAAGTGCCACCAAACCGTTGGACGTGCATTCAAAAGTTGAGTCAAATCAAGTTGACCTCGAATGGGAGTGCATTTTAGGGTCCCCCGGAAGCCAAACCTGACAAGCGTTTTTGCCAGCAGTGCAGAATAAGCGCTCAGTGGCGTTGGGGCGATGTGGCCATGGCGTCCCGGAAGCCCCAGGCTTCCAGCAGGGCCACCTGGAAGCTCTCGGCGCACAGAGGCGGGTTGTCGAATGTCGCGCAGCGGCCGCTGCGCCCGTGGTTGAGTTCGGCGTCGATGTAGAGAGCGTTCCCTTCACCGCCACCTGATTGGAGGAGGCAGTCAACAGACGCTCAACAAAGACGCTCCCCCCTCCCTTTCCGCCACTCACCCACAATGATGGAGTCAAAGTTCCCGGCCATGAACATGGAAGTGTTCCTCGAGCTGAGGTTGAAGTGGCGGGCGGCCAGGAAGGGCGACAGCTGGCCGAGCGCCTTCTCCGGCTGCCGCAAACTGCCGCGCTCAGAGTTTTGGCCCTCCTCGGAGGCCTCCGCGTCCTCCTGACCCCGATTCTTCACGGCGCAGGCCAACTCGGGGTGCCGGATCACCACCCACTCGTAGCGCTCCATCTCCGGTTTAAGCTGGCAACAAACAAACAATTGGCATTGGGTCAGGAATGGCGGGGACGCTTGGTTGGGAAAGAGCTGCAGCAGCCCCAACTCGGTTGTCTCTGCCAATTGCCACTGAGGATGTGCTTTCAACTATGGACAGCCCGGGCGTCACGGGAGTCCGTCGGAGGGACAAAAAAGGCGCAATCACCCAAATGGCGCGCACATCGGCTACCTTCAAGCCGCCAATTCTCCTGCTCTCACTTCAGGCTTTTACCGCGGCGCCACGTGACGACCCGATGAAATACAACCGGACCGGGTCGCAGCCGTTCCGGATGCGGCCGTGCTGGAACGCGCGCGCATTGGAAGGGGCGCGCGGCTCCGGCAGCAGCTTTGGGCTGCCGCGAGTCAATCGTTCACGCAGAGGCCACGTGGGAGAGGCAGACTCTGCGTGGATTTCAATTCCTGGAAACCTGCCAATGCGCCACAAAGAAGCTGAGGGTTCTTGGGAATGGAACTTGACGCCGATGACGCGCTACTCAAGAGTTGGCGGACGGCAGCCTCTGCTGGCTGGAATCAGAAAACGCAGAGAGAGACCGACAGCGATTCGGAGTCCCGGGCGCCCACAATGCAGATTTAGCGTGCAAACAAAATGCTAAGATGTGGCCCCAAAATACCTTTTTTTCTCCCCCTCACACATTTGTCCAAAACCTCCGTTATGCGGTGTAGCAAAAACAATCTTTGCAAAGTGAATCGAAGCGGTTTGCGCATGAGGATTCACAGCGTAAGGCGCCACGAGAAAGGAAAGCCAGCTCACCCTGAAGACGAAGCACTCGCCCGTGCCGAAGAAGCTCAGCTTGTTGCCTCCCCTCTTGCGTTCTTCCCAGTCAGTGGACAGGAAGGCCCCGCAGACCTGAGCGCAAAGAGGCCGCGGCACCGTTTCACAAGTCTGCGCCCTTCACGGCCCGCTCAAAGTTGACGTTTGCCGCCTTACATCTCCGTCCGTGGTTCGGATCAGGAGCAGCGTGGGTTCGTAGCCTTCGCAATGCTCGTAAAATCTGGCGGGCGCGACAAGTTACGGTTAGCAAATGCACACGCGCTCGTCAACGGCGGGGGGCGAAAGCGCCGGTGTCCGAAAACGACGAGTCGCGGGGAAAACTCCCCCAAAGTCCCCGCACCTGTTGAGGCTGCAGCCGTGCGCGGAGGTGGTGAAAAGCAGCTGCGGTTGGCACAGGGCGAAGCGCTCGGGGATCCACGACCAGATGTCTCTCATCTCCTTGGCGCCGACGATCTCCGAAGAGAAGGCGTCCGGGTCCAGCGCGAGCTGCACGTTCCTCCTGCCGATGCCGCGGGAAGAAAAACACAGCGAGGCGCCTTCAATCGTCCACCGTTGCGATCCCGGTCAAATGCGACGGAAGTCGCGATTCTGACAATGCGCTCGGATTTCACAAGAGTGAAGACATTGGTGAGCAAGTTGAGACAAGATCAAAGATGTCGTTTGGCTCTACAATTTTTGGCGGACATTGACGGCATGTCTGGCGACGGCATGTCTGGCGACGGCATGTCTGGCGGCGGCCGCCGCGCTACGACGAAGCAGAGCGGATCCGATCCGCCGCCGCTGCTAACAAGTGTCGGACGGACAGATTTTCTTCCATTTTCGCGACCGGGTAACGGCAATGCGTTGGTCCAGATGGACGATGGAGGCGTGACGTTTACGCGCGAGGGAGAAAAGACACAATGAGCGCAGATGGCAGAAGAGAAGTGAGAGCCCACCTTAATCTGAAGCAAAAGCGGCGGCGAGTGAGGAGGAGATGGAAAATGGGTGGATGGAAGAAGACAGAACGTGAGACAGGAATTTGAGAAAATTCATCACACGGGAGAGAAAAGTACAAGAAACAGAGTGAACACCGGCTGAGCGGCCTTTCGCTCTTCACGAACCGCCCATCTTTGGACTTTGGCATCAGATGCGAAAACACACGCTTAAGTTGAACGTTTTGCTGTTGAAATACACGCGCCATTCTCTTTTCGTTTCACGCGTTTTACGGCAAGCGCACCGCGCCTCTTATTTGGGTAGAAGCAGAAAAGGCGCAGAGGAGCGCGGACATCTGGACAGCGTCTGCCTCCTCATCGCGGGCGCGGGCGCTTCCGTACGCCCGCGCTAACTGCAGCGAGCGCATGGCCGTTTTTCACGCGGTTTCTCCATTGTACCTCTTGTGCTTGACGGTGATGCCCTTTTCTCGCAGGGACCTTTCGTTGGCGAGCTGCAGCAAGGCGATCTCCTTGCGGCTCAGCAGGCGGATGGAGAAGGCCTTCTCCAGCAGCTTGTCGGGCGTCACCACCGCAGCGATTCCTCGGGCGAAAGCCCGAATGTCCGACCTGACTCGGCCGGAATCCTGCCGCCGCTCGGCCGCGGCTCCCGCCGCGTGTTTGCGGTAGAACTTGAGCAAGGCGATGGCCACGCGGTACAGAATCTTGTAGCCCTCCACCAGGTAGACGTCCAGGACGCGCACGGCGTGGCTGAAGGGCAAGTCGCCGAGCACCCATCGCTGCCAGTCCGAGTAGACCTCCAGAACGTCCAGGGCCGCGGCCACGATCGCTTTGTGCGCCGGCGCGCAGTACTTGTTGGCCAGGTCCCCGAAAGTCATGCAGCCCGACTCGTAGGCCAGGAAGGTCTGATCCAGGAGCCGTTTTCCCGGCTCGTTGCAGGCCAGTATGCGGCTCACGTGCTCGAAACACTGAGCCTCGTCGGCGCTGAAGTGCAGGAGCAAAGAGGTCACGGCCGGCAGGGACGGGCAGTGGGAAATGTCGGGAAACTGACCGGCCAGGCAGTTGATGATGCGGTGGGCGGAGCCCACCGCATCGGCTTTCAGGCAGTAGCGCGGTACGGGGTTCCCGTCCGCGAGGTCCGGCAGCGGGACGTTCCCGGCCGGCTTCTTGGCCGCCGCGCTTCCCAGCAGGTCTCGATAGACTTCGGCGTCGGGCGTCACCGTGCGGCAGGGGATGCTTTTGATCAGCCGCTGGTACGCTCGCGCCCGAAGTCGGTGATTGGTGGCCCAGTAACCCTGACGAGCCATCTGCTTCAACTCTCTGGGGTCCTCGCAGTCCAGCTCGCTGGGCCCGCCGCTCTGGGCCAGATGGCCCATCTGCTCCGAGTCCACAAAGACGCCGTAGTCCTCTTCGGCCATGTCGGGAAATGGGAGCGGGGCTCCCGATCGCCGGCCCGTTCTCGTGGAAGGCCCGCGTCCGGCGCTGCAAAAGGAAATGGGGAGAAGACGAATGAGCGCGCGTTTCGGAAAGGCGCGCCAGGGAAACGGCCCGACCCGATCCGTTCACGCCGCACGACGGCACCGACCGGCAATCGGATCACGTCGACCTGCGGCGCGAGGTCTCAGGGGACGCGCCGGTCTCCGAAACGCCTTTGTTGGCTAAGCTGCAGTTAAAGCGATCCGTTGCCGCGAGCGCAAACGACACTTGGCGGCAAAAAGCAGCTCGGGCGGCATCCTCGTCGCAGATCCGTCCACGCTGCCTTAGCGCCGGCCAAAAGTGGATGTCCGTCCAAAGATCCCTCGCAACGACCCGTGTCGTCATCAACACCCTTGTGGCGTTGCGCGTTTTACGCAACGGTCAGACGCGGAGAGCATTTGCTCGCACTCAGCGACTTTATCGCAGACTTTGAACTCATTCGCAAGATCCTCTGGCAATTTAGTCACTTCAACAACCGCCTTTCCACATGATCCGAATCACAAAAAACAAACAAAACAAAAAAGCGATAGCTTTCCACAAAGCACATCAAGCGCACGTCGACGAAGGCAAAGGAAACTTTCGGCTGATGTGAACTAACTAACTCTGCAGTCATGAGGCTCCAACGGTCAGATTGCAATTGGATTTACACGAGGGTGCCTCTCACGCAGTTTTACTTGGAAGTCTGGCGGTTGATCTAAACAAACAACAAAAAAAAAGGAAAGCGATAACAAATAATACCAACAATGATATCAAAATTATAAGAGGCAAACGGAACGCATAATGTCAAGCGAGTCACGTACGGCTGCTGTCTACCGAGCACATAGAGGCAGCCCGAAATAAAATACTGTGCGGGTAAAAATTTGAAATATTGACTCTTCCGCTCTTCAAGTGAACTCGTCCAAATTGGTCAAATGAAAAAGAGAAAACAGGGCTGACAGATTTACACAATTGGCACTGGACTGATATTGGATCCATTTTTTTTTTCCTTTTCAGAAAAACAGGATTAAGAAAAACGCACAGGCAAGAACAAGCAAGGGTTAACATGAGCTCATTTTGCACTGCATAAGATTCCTTCAAAACACCAGACGTACCTCGACCCTCCCCAAAAGAGTCCAGTATGCAAGTTCCCCGGAAGGGAAGGTTCATTCTTCAAAGTGCGTTTCAAAAACCTGCTCGTTCATTCATCCTTCGCCAGTTAGCATGGTTAGCATGGGTTAGCCGCCAGCAACCGTCACAATCCGAACGGCGCAGCAAGCTACGAGCCTCAAACCGTGCAAATAAGCAACCGCGAGCAAATGAAAATAAGCCGCTCAAACGGTGCGGGCTCGCGCCGGCTAGCAAAAACGTCACCGACTCGCCTCGCCTCGCCTCGCACACCAATTTGCAGCGCCGTCCGTCGTCTTTTCACTGGGACTCGGCGTGCATCTCAACTCCGGCGTCAGGAGGAGCAGACGTACGTGCCTCTTCGGGAGACCAGCCGTGAGTGAGAGCGGAGGGGAAAAAAAGAGGAAGACGAAAATGCGCCGACGACGGGCGACGTCTCGAGTCGACGGCGAGCGGAATTCGTCAAGTCGTCTCGCGCATGCGCATTTGCTCCGCAAAGCGGCTCGGCCGCCAAGTCGATTTGCAGTTGCGGGTCAAGCTCCAAGAGCTTGCTTTAAACATCGCTCTTGATATTTTCTTCACGCTAAGACTAACATATCCCTCCATCCGCCTCCCAAACCGTGGCAACTCTTCGGTATTTCTTGCACATAACACAACATCTTGCGTGGACGGAAGTGGCACGGGAAGCGCCGAAATCCGAGGCAACACAAGCTTCCTTTGTGCCCCGGTCAAAGCTCCCGGCAAATCCGACCGGCCGACACATGACATTTATTACCGTTGATTCAATTGCGGCAAAAAAAAAAAAAAAAAAAAAACGCGCGCGCGTCTCCCCGACAGTCAAATATATATGATGTCATTGTGGATTTGCAAATCGAACGTGAACAATATCCACAATTGAAATGCGCAGCTGCATATTTTGGTCATATTGAATCGCGGCAATGGCGCTTCGTGTTGAAAAATGAGCGCAGAAGAAGAAGAAAGAGACAACACCCGAGTGAGATACAGTACTGTGTGGGTGTTTTTCGATCCACTTCTCAAGCAGATAGCTAGCGAGGGAAGAGAGCGAGTGCAGCTGCTTTTCCGAAAAGCTTTTCATCAGCGTGCCAAGATTGCAATGAACAAGTAAAAAGCTCCTCGCTGTAAGCCCATAAATGCCCACAACAAACACTCGGATTGCCTACAGCGTCTCTGGAAGCCGCAGAGGCCATTTTCATGGATTGTTGCTCTTCCAGACTGTTGTTACTAAACAATCGAATCAAAGAAAAAGAAGCGCGAACCCGATGGGCGTCCATGCTGAGGGTGACCGGTCCACGGTACTCAAAGTCAGCCGAGATCGGCCCGAGCGCACCTGAGGAGCCAAAAGAAAAGGTTTCGTTTGTCATTTATCTTATTTGTTTCATGCGAGTACAAATACGTGCGTGCCCCTTGGCTAAGGCACGATCAAGGTTGTTCAAAACCGGGCCTGCAGTCAACATTTGTGGCACCAGGGGGCGTCATTACCACTCCGCGGGTGATCGCGGCCAAGATCCAAAAATGGATTCCAAAATATGGATTGACATATTATTAGAATGTCAAGGCCGAAAGCGTTCGTTGGAATATTGGACAAATACGTCTCTCTCATTTATTTAGTTGCAATTCATTCAAAAATGACCGAGGATTGTGCGCTATTCGACCAACAAGCTGAAACATTTGAATTCATTTTGATTTTGGTGAGAGTCAACAAAGACACGCTGCAGTTTTCCAAGATGGAGGAGGCAGACCGTCATGAGAAAAGGCTTGCCTGTCTTTTGTCTTTTTGGGAGACAAGAAAGCTTGTCTCCCAAAAAAACGTGAAGTCATCTTGCAGCCCACACCTACCTCTCAACCGCCTTCATTTTGTGGAGGCCAACAAATCCACTCGCATTGTGCCATCATTTGGGGGGTTTCGAGGAAGGAGTGGCAACGGGGTGTGCGGCGGGGTGCTATGGCGTTCGAAGCACACCTTTTGACGTCCTCGCCATTCAAGAGGCGCCGCAGACACGCCCGCAAATTGGCCGAGCACACGCGGCGACGTCAAAAGCTACGGAGAGGCATTTCCGCTTCCAGTCAGAGTCGTGCGAGCGGGGCGGTTGGCATGAAAGCGCTGCCTGCCACTTCCTCTGATGTCATGAAAGCTGCCCATGCGGGGGGTCTTTAATAGCCTTGCCTCCCCCTCCTCAGCTCACCCCACCCCATGCCTGATCCTGACCTTTTAAAAACTAAAGAACGAGGACTTTCTGCGTGGTGTTAAATTGGAATAACGTAGCCGGATGTTTTAATCTGGGTGGTCATGTGCTTTTTTTTTTTTTTTTCTCCTTCATGTGGATTTTATTATACACGCACGACGACTGAGCATATTTCGTGAGCGGAGGGATGCCACTTTGCCATGCTGTAAAAGCCCTTCAGAGTCGCATGACAAACTGGAGGAAAAGTCGTTACGAGGAAGGCGGTCCACCGCAGGACTTGCAGCACAAAGGAAAGGCGGTGCGGTGCGTGTTGGGCTTTTGACTTGAATGCCTTTGAGACGGTCGCTGCAAATAAAAACGGGGGAAGATTTAAATCAAAGATGATCGCAGGAAGAAAACAACCATTAGCGTTTGGAAAATGTAGCTGCAATTATTTTTGTAGGGGGGAAGAAAACAAACAACTCGAGCTTTGGCTCTGTTACGGAACGGGTTCTACGGCAGCGCTCCTCAATTGAGGGTCCGCGGACCCCTAGTGGTCCAAGGCGTAATTCGTTTTATCCTTCTATTTAAACGATGAAAGTCAGCAAAGTGTTTGTTTTTTTTCTTGTCTACAAACAGGAGGTAAAACTCTCTGAACCTCAGGAAAAAAAAAAGCTGCTATTTTGACGGTCACTCCGCAGGTGAATTTGCGAATTGCAAATAACTGGGGATTCACGGGCATGTTTTCAGGAGCTTTCTCCGCACGATCCGCCGCCATTTGTCTCCCGCTGCCAATCATTGCTGGAGGGGAAGATTAGCCAGACGATAGCGCGACACAGCGAGCCGGCCACAGGCCGGTTACCACGGCGATGACAGCAGCCGGCCCAGGTGCGCAGGCAGCTGGAGAATCCAGGAATGTGCGCGTGCGTGTTTCTCAAGAGATATTTGTCATGCTGGCAGACAGACATGAGGGAGCTGCTATTGAACACGCAGGTGTGTCGGGCATGAGAAGGTTCCAGAAAGAGCGGAAGGGGAGATCGACGACGATAAGGAAGCCCTCGCAACGTCGCATGTCGGGGGAGCGGCCCGCGTGGAAACGCGCCAAAGCGAGCTAAAACAGGACTCGCGTCGGCTCATTGTTGAATCGGAGGAGATCGAGCGACAGATCATGTGGGGGATCGCAAGTGGTCTTTCTTTTGATTTTTGTTCTCCCACTCCAACATATTTCTCCACTGAGTCAAAGCATTGGAATTTCAAAATGTTTGGCGCATTCAGCGCACACGCACGCCCAGGCCCATTTCTCTTCTCGCCCAGTCCCAAACTCTCCAAATCTTGATGAAGTCAATATGCCCACGTGGACCGACCTCCTCCCGCCACGTTTCTCGACTGATTCAAGCCATGACGACGACGACGACGACAAAAAAAGGTTCAACTTATTCAGCACATGAAAGGAATGACTTGTGAGGTTGCTGAGACGGCCCCGTTTTCACGCTGCATTTGCTAAACGACAACATTCTTGACGTTGTCCAAGTCATCGCGGAACATACGCAACATCTTTAGTGTCCAAAGTGGGTCCTCGAGGGCCGCCGCCGTCCCGCCTCTTTTCCGGCTCTCCCGGGAGAACCGCGCACGCTTCAAATCATCGGGACGGCTCCGATGCCGGCCGACGAGCCGGGAGAGCCGCAAAACAGGCAG